TTCCTGCTTACACTGTGCTTGGGCCATATTTTTAAGTGTTAGACTGATTGGTAAATAATTTTTACTGCCTCTTATGTATATTTCTTTCTACTTTACAGAGAAAATCTATTTCTGCCCCTTGCTGATGTGGCCAGACTTGGGACCCACCCATTCCAAAAGTTAAAAGTTAATGAGACAGAGAGCAAATATTTATAACTGAGACTTTGTATACGACAGACAAACATACAGTATCTTGTACTTTTCATGTATTCTTATTTTTAAATAAATGGTATTCACTTTAATCACTCATGTGAATGAACGTGTTTAAAACCAAATGGCTACATTAAAGATAATGGAAAACTCTAGTTCACCTTCAAAAATTATTGTATTTATAATGATTTAAAAGGCTCATTACTGAGAGCCACATTCCAAAGTTGCAGTAAACCCATTGAGTTTTTATAAACACATTTTCTTTCTACTCTTACTGCTGTTCGCTCCACTGAAGTGAGGGGCTATGTGGACTCATTTCAAATGTCCTTAGATTATACGTTGCTCTAAGGAAACCCTTTTTCCAGATAAGTTGTAAAGAACATGTATTTTTTAATGGCAAGTATTTTATCATTTCTGGCCATTTAGATTATAGGTGTGGGATCCTGTTTTATATGGCACCCCTGCTACTGTGGAACTTTTCTTTCAGCTGCTTTAGTTAGAAAAGCTGTTGCCAAACAAAACAGTAGGAGGGAAGCTGTAAAAACGTTTTGAAATGCTAAAAAAAGAAATAAGTGAGCAAGCAGCAATCTAAACATAAACTGGAGGACTCTTCCCATGACCCACGTTTAAGGGAAATAAACAGAAGAAGATGCAGAGAATTAACAGAATACCAATTTCGAGCCACATTCAGGATCTTTAGAGGGATTAGAAATTATTCAGAAAATTACATGTAAGCTGGTGCACTAAAATCGTTCTGTCACAAATCTCAGACATTATTCTGAGCTAGACGAGCCTGGTGTCATGACATTTTCTCAAAAAATGAGAGGTCATAGAACCTGGAAAAGAATACGTATATGTATAACTGAATCACTTTGCTGTCCACCTGAAAATAATACAACGTTGTAAATCAACAATACTTCAATAAAAAATTAATTAATTTTTTTAAATGAGAAATTATAATCTAAAAGTTCAAATTACCATTATGAGTTAGTTCTGTTGATTTAAGGCCTTTTTCGTTAGCATCAGAACAATGAAATCGGCAGTTACATAATGAGATAACCTCCAACCACAACAATAGAAAAGGCTCACTCAGGCAAGCTCAGTGAAATCTAGAATCTAAACACCACTATAGAAAAACAAATTGTAAAACATGGGATGCTCTCAAGACTGTTCTTTGAAAAAACCTTGATGTGCTATGTAATATGTGACCAGTATAACTTTGGAAGTTCAATCTGATATTATCTTTGATCCAGGCACACTGCTCTTTTACAGATATGTGATTTATTTAAAACACTCCTTTTTCTTTTTCTTTTTTTTTTCTTGGAATGCATGTAACCAGATGAGTATTAAAAGTGAAATATATAACATATTCCTTAGTATCTGAAGGATGAGTACCTTTATTTATTTTTTTCCCGAGTCAATATTTAAACTAAACACATACTTCAATCTTTAAGAAAAAGGCTGTTCATCCTGGAGAAGGTAACTGACTTGCATGGAACCCGGAATAAGTCAGTCAGTTGTCTGTCAGTCAGTCATACGCTCAGATAACACTGATGAGCCTGGTTGGGGCCAGGTGCCCTGGACTCTGGGCACCCACAGACAGGGACCCATTCATCGGCTTTATTGCCCTAAACCCTCCCAGACTGCAGGCTTCATTGCTGGGATTCCCAAGGTTCAAGGAGGTTAAGTCACTTACTCCAGCTCCAGACAGAGTGTAGACAGAACACAGAACAGAGGTACCTCTGCCCTGCCACAGCTGTCTTCACGAGTTTGTGGGGAATTCCATCAGTTATTCAATAATACTTTGAGCCTAGGCCGAGTTCATTACATCTCAATAGATTAAGTCAATGAATCATGTTATTTTATAGTCCCATCATACGTATCTACTTCCTGTGAGGCCAGAAGGCATTTTCCTATTACTGCTCACAGAGGGACGGCCTTCCCTTTGTTTTGTCCCTTTTTTCTTTTAAGTAGCTGTTCAAGAAGAAGAGTGGCTCTCTGCAAGGGGCTCTAGTCTCGTCCTTTGAAATGTCCCGGTGTGTGTCCTAGATCAGACTGAAGAATAATCCATCAAACAATTCCAGTACTGTGGAATAAGAGAATTTCCTGAGCATCACTGTGGTAAAGAGGCATATTTTGTAGGCAGCTTCACAAAACCATTGGGAAATAAAAGTATCTTGAAAAGGACTAGGAAAGTATAAAATCTGAAATATAACTTTGGTTGGTCATCATTAATGTTACCTGTCCTCCTTCCTAAACTTTACTCTGAAATTACACCAGCATATCCAGTTTCTCTCCAACAATAATTAAATATGTGAAAAGAGCACTAACTAAATCAAATAAAGAGGCAATGTCATGAAGATTTAAAGATGATAAAGGGTCTCACATGACAGCTAGTAAAATAATAATAGCTCACATTTTACAAAATCACAAGTCAAAGAAATATGTCTAGTCTCATCAAGCTGTTTGTGTCTTCCTAAGGAAAATATTTGTGGCCTTCATAACACAAGACCAAATACATGATCAAAAAGTAAGAGTCACTTGTCCATGCCAGAGAATTGAGCCATGTTATTATGGTTTCAGGCTGATGGATTCATTATTCATTTCACGATATTTATTGAGCACCTACTTACTGCACCAATCACTGGGGATACAAGTGATGAACAAGAGAGACATGGTCACTAGCTCCATAACTCTCAGAGTCTGGGAAGCAGATCATCAGACAGCATTCATAAAAAATATATAGGATTATATACAGTGGCAACTGGGATGAAGAAAAGTGACAGTTTGTTTTGAGGAGAAATCAAAGTAACCCTGATATTTGAATACTGACTCTGTGAAGTGATGTATTACTAATACTATTAATCCTTTTGTGGTTTCTGTTGTTTCCAACACCTTATAATTAAAAGGGCTTTAATGTTTTAAGCCTTCTTACACCATCTTGCTATAACTGCAGGGCAGTGTAGAAACTGAGATGTATATAAATGAATATAGATAAAGCACTGTATAGCTACAGAGGCAGGATGTAAGTAGGAACAAGAGGCAGTTTGGCTTGCCAGGAGCTTCTGCAAAAGGAAGTAGGGACAGGTAAATAGACCTTGAACCCCAGGCCAGGTTTCTAGACTTTTTCAACAGGGAGAAGGAAGGTTCTAAAGTACTGAGGTTGTGAGTTTGGGGAGGCTAGTATTTCTGGGAGATTATCTTAGAAGCAATAGGCAAAATACATAAAGAAGGGAGAAACAGTGCTTAGGAATATCATTGAAGGGACTATCTCAATAATTAGTCCATAAGGGTATGGATTACTATACATCCATGGGATTGAAAAGAAGAGACTCAGGTATAGGCTCTCTTGAGGAGGAAGAATTTTTTTTTTGTAACTGACCAGTAACTGGTCAGTAACTGACCAGATATAAAAGACTTTTGAGGATTCAAATTCAAGATTCCCTAAGGAATGGTTAGGCTATGAGCATAAAGTAGGATCAACAATGATGAGTCTGACTTTGAACCTGCTGAGTTTCAGGTGCTAATGGCACATCCAGCTGAAACTTATCAGAGAGAACAGGACTGGAAATATAGAACTGTCATCCTCTCAGAAGCAACTTTTGATTTTGGAAGGGTTGGCAAAGAGGAAAGCACAGGCAGAGAAAATTACTAAAGAATCTCAAGGGAACCTTAAACTTGGTGGTGGGGCAATGATGTCAGGGGTGACAAAAAGAGCAATGGAGGGGGATAAGTGAAGGAGGATTATAGAGGAAACCAAGGAAATCAGATGAAGAAGTAATCAGTGAAGTTAAGTGCTGGGCAGAGACTGAAAGATCCAAGAAATGAGAACAGGGTCCAAGGAATCCAGGGATCCAGGGAATGAGAATTGGATTGGGAAGGGAGTGGCGGGGGTGGGGGGGTCACTGTTTGCTAATTATTAATCATGTTTCAAAGATCAGGGCCATGTCTCAGAAGTGATGATTGCTGCCATATGCCAGACAACTCTGGATAAGGCTCTATCCTTTTCAAGAGAAGATTCTGGATGACTACCTTTGCCTTGTCTTTGATGAATACATATATTTTCATCAATATATGTGAATATATATAACCCTCTAGCAAATATAAGCATTAAAAAAAGAGAGCATGTCTACATTTCTCACTGCTTAAAATAGGATTATAATGGGGAAGGTATCAGGCAACACTCAGCATTACTTCCTTCTAACAGACAAAAAAGATAAATCATCTGGAGATACTCAGATCACTCATAAAGTCAGTAAAATGGTAAATGGAGGACAGGACCCTAAACTGCTATTAAGAGTCTTAGCCTCTACTCATTGTATCAGACCATACACTCTTGCAGGTTTAGGATGGAGCTCCAAATAACTTTTTTTTTTTTTTTTTTTTTTTGCAGTACGCGGGCCTCTCACTGTTGTGGCCTCTCCCATTGTGGAGCACAGGTTCCGGATGCGCAGGCTCAGCGGCCACGGCTCACGGGCCCAGCCGTTCCACTGCATGTGGGATCTTCCCGGACTGGGGCACGAACCCGTGTCCTCTGCATCGGCAGGCAGACTCTCAACCACTGAGCCACCAGGGAAGCCCCAAAATAACTTTTTAACAACTAAGTCCAAATAACTTTTTAGGACTTAATTTATATATTTCATTAAAGAGGTTTTTCTTTAATTGTATCTTAATGCATAGGCTAATAATTACTAATTTGCTATGCTCTTACAAAATATATCAGGTTAATATCACAATGTATATCACACTGTTCACTAAATCTTGTCAATGTTGAATTAAGAATCTAGTTAAGGAATTATGGATTTGCATACCTGTGGTATCCATCGGGAAGACACAAAGCTTGTCACTTCTATTACAGGCAAGCCAGTTTGGGAAAGTTGATTGATAAATTCAATTTTTATATCTGTAGGAACTATAATCTAAGAAAACATTAAGAATTATAAGTAATTTGCATAAATTATTTATTGAAGCATAAATAGAAAATTAATTCCTAACTGAAAGCAAATACTATTTAAGATTTATAAATTCAAGTAGCAACTAAGAACAAATGTAATCATCTAATATATGAAATCCATATGTCTTTAGACTCAATAAATATTTAGATTTAGCATTTTTTAAAAACTGTGTAAAATTAATATCAAGTTACCTTTTCATTCTGCAATCCATCTCTAGGTCCAACTTCTACTATTTTCACATATTCAGGAAGTCCAGATGGCTGGGATGATTCCTAAAATGAAAAATACAAGGCAAGAAAAAGAGATAACAGATCATCAAACTTGTTTATTTGAAAAGTCAAACAATTTCACTTTGTTGGATTAAGTTCTCACCCTGGAAAGTTAAGAAAGGTAAGAAATTGATATAATGATATAATCCAAATACGAAGTTTATGTTATTAGCAACATGAGGTCATTTTTTTTTTACAACCCAGTGATATTCAGTCTAATTATGATTAAAATCCAAAAGATGAATTTCAAAGATAAAACTGCAGAGAAGGTGACTTACTCAGGATCTAAAGAGACAATCTGCTAAGTAATTCTATGCGTGATGATAAACATACCATTGTTAGAGTTCATTAAGAAATTAGATCTTTCTATTAATAGACTTCTACCAGTCACAGTCATCCAGATGCCATACCCTGAACTTGCCAAGTGTGAATTCAGTTTTCTGGCCTGTGTCAGAGAATACGATGTGTTGTTTATTTCTTGTCTGTGTCACACAGCACAACCAGCACCTAAATGCAGCTTCCTAAAGGACAAACTCCCCCCAGGAGGAAATCCTTGATATTCCCCTCTGTTCTTAAACTAAGTATTATGGTCACATCATGTTTAGAAGGACATTAGTTTGAAACAGGAAAAATGGAAACTGACTTTCTCAACTTCATATTGCAGTTAAAATCGGCAGTAGGCTACGTCTTTCCAGACTGGACAAACATAACCTCCTGGTATCTCTGAGCCCAGTTAAGTGTGGGTAATCAATCATCAAGGTCTTCTAATGGATAGCTGATGGAACTGACCCAGATCAGCATGACCTCTTCTTCAAAGTTAGTTTTTTGTCTTGCTTTTCATAAAGGATGATGACTCTGGGCTGATCAATTTGCATTGTCTAACTCTGTCCTTGTAATAATCACAGGCATACACCGATAAAGTGGCTATTTTGGATGCACGACCCAGTTTGTTTCCATCACACAGCACAATGCTCCCTGCCCTTTCTAGGGTCCATAGCTGTTACCTGGTTTTATTAGCATTCTGTGCTAAGTAACTCAGCAAAGGAACCCAGATGATCCCTGTTACAATGTTTACATACCACCCTCCACAATATCCATGAAATCAGGCAATTCAATAAGCAAAAATTAACTGAGAAGGAAAAGAATTCTCATCTCTGCATCTCCTGAGCAGGCTGTGATGCATGCAGTTGGGAGGGTGGAGGTTTGAGCGAGGACACATGGGGTCCCTCAGCTTTAGGCTCAATTTTGGACGACAATCATGAAATTATGCCTTATTTACAGGGTGGCCATCATTTCAACCAGGCAATAAGATAGAGGGATGGCATGGGAAGGCAGAGTAAAAAAGAGAAGCTCACTCCTCTTTCTTATTACCTCCAGTCCTAAAACTGCAGGGATGAAAAAACAAAAACAAAACTAGGCAATCTTAAGCCATGTGGTCTCATTATCGCTGATTGTTTCATGAAACTCATTTTCAACAGCAATTAGCTTGGAGTATACATGGATGAAGAATACTACTTTATTAAACAGCAGTGTTTAACCACCAAAAAGGAACATAGTGTTTTTTAAGGTGATAACAATGTGCTGAGTACAATTAAAGAGCTTGAGACCTTCCTTTGCATCACTGGTATAGCTGGCAGAAGTAACAATCTGAAGAAATTAAAGTGTAATCTCCCACTAATTATAGCCATTTAAGTCAAAGCAGAATATGTGCATACTTGATATTATTTTACATTTCTTCTTGAATCTAACACTCCCATTTTGTCTTCTAGTCATGGGTCTGTATTCCCTCTATCTGAATACCCAAGAAATCAGAAAAAAGTTATAATGTGTTCAGTAAGTTCAAAGAGTAACAAGTTTCCCTTTAAACAGCATATAAATAAATATATAAATAAAGTCAATACATAATTGTTGAATATGTGTGATGGGAGAGCCCTATCTTGGTATTTTCAGTGTCATTCTGGGCATTACTATCTCTGTATTGACATTTCTAAGCAACTTCAGCTTTACATAAATAATGCAATGCCTACTGAGCAAATCCACCTAAATGTTGTAGAAGCACATAATTTTCAATGATGCAAAACTGATCTCATGATTTCCCTGCCTCATTCCTCTCCTCAGATATTCTCCCACCACCTACTATCTGATTCCATCTCTCTTACCACTTATATCTAATTGGTACCTAATTGGTATTTTTATTACTGGTTCTATTTTGGCATATACCCAACATCCAACACTTAGCTTGCACTTAATAATTGTTTGTTGATTGTATTAGTGAATCTCTTTTGTCACTGGCTGTATTTAAATTGTCTTCCTTTTCTACTTAGTCTATTGCTGTAGCTTCCTAAGTATTCTCCCTAATTTTGTTTTTCTATGATTAAAATGCTTCAGAATGTACCAGTCACCTGTGGAGAGATCTATCAACCTAAGGTAAAAGATGATTCATGACTAGCCTCTCACCTTCTACCACACTCTACTTCATGCATCCTGTGATTTTATTCATGCTAAAGTCATGTCCTGCTCACTTTCATGACTGTAGACATGAAGTTGCTATTGGTTGGAAATAGCTTCTATCTGTGGGGAAAACTTTCCACCAAAACCATTTCTCTTCTTCACAGACACAGGACTGGACCTCATTTCTCCTCTAAGAGTTACGTTTGAACAAGTTCCAGTTGATGGACTATCAACGTGAATGCTATGTACCGCTTTTAGGCTTGGCCCATGAAAATATCCCATGCACATGCTTCCATGCTCTTTCCCCTCTAGCCAGCTTAATGCAGATGAGTATGGCAGACTTGGAAGCTGATAAAGACACACACACAAAAATTGAAGGAACCTACACCAGAATCACTGCTTTAATAAGAATTCCATGCCTATAAGAAACAATTATTTTGTCCCTTATAGAGATGAAAATAAATGTCAACTCTTTTATACCATTGAGGGTATAGGTATATCTTTCATAGCTCCTAATTGTGAAAAATGATGAAGGGTCTGAAATTTTACCCTACTTCCAAGCTAACAAGTGAGCCTGCCATGGATGCTGGTGGAAGGCACAAGACTCATTGGTCAGAGAAGGAAAAACAGGCTTATCACTCACAGCAACAGCAGTAGCTAGAAAATTAGGATTTGTGCTGGTTCCCCAAGCCCCAACTCCCAGGAAAAAAAGAGGACCATACAATGCTTGGCCAGACAATGGGTTACATTACAGGAAAGGAACCCCAAGAACAGGAACCTTGAACCTTTGCTAATGGGCAGTACGCATATCGTTCCTTGGTGACAGATACACTGTGTTTATCATGCTTGACCATGAGTATGCCTGCCTTTGATCTGAGAGAAAGACACTTCCCCTTGGCTCCAGAAGGAGACACTAGTTCTATCATTCAAAACTATTTTGCATTAAAAAAATCCTTGAAAAGAGAGTCTGGGACAAAGGTAATTATGCCTCTGCTTGCAAGAAATACAGAAATTCAATAAACTTATGCAGAATTATTTCCCAATAATATCCACTCTTCATTTTTACACCATCCTGGTTTATGGCAAATTTCCCACTAGTAAACCACTCTGTTGGCCCCTCTGATTAACAGAGGCTGGAACCAAATCCACTCATTTTTATCTCAGAAAACATTTAATTAAGGCTACTCTCAACAGACCTTCAAGGAGCAGGAGAAGGCCAACCTGCTATATTGACTTTTGCCATGCCACTCCTCCCCAGGGTCCTGGATTCAACCAGCAGAATGAATCCTATACTGTAGTGGCCTCTGCATCAGAAGCTCAGCGTTGTTTACTTTGTGCCTATTTTATGATGGTGCATGTGTTACCATGTTCAATGCTATGATTTATCCAGGCAGGAACAGTGACAATATAGGTGATGGAGGCTTGATCCGCAGCGTGATTCCAGTGTGCCTCATCAGAGTATGGGCTTCAGATGATCCACCGGCAGCCATAATTTATTGCCATAATTCATAGCCTCCCCCAAAAGGTGTCTTTAACATCTTAGTCTACAGTTTCCCAAATGGCAGACAAATAAGCTAGGCCAATGACCCCGACCCAAGAGTCAATAAAAACATGGCAATGGCCTCAAGTTCTGCTGGGCAAGTAGAGCAATCACATCCCCTTTCAGTTCTGCATGGCGGCTGGAGAGGTTTTACAACTGCAGGAGCCCAGTGGTCATCATCAGATTTCAGTTCGGCCAAAATATCATCCAACCAGGCTAAGAAAAGCACCATGAAGGGAAGGGCCCCCACTGAGCTGGTAGCTTTGTTCCAGGCAGTGGAACAGGCAACAGAGGGCAAGGGTTACTTTTTGTGGGTAAAGCTGAGATTGCACTGGGGACAGGCCAACCACTTTCTCGAATATACAGTTTCCATTTGATTAGTGAGGCCTGTTGAAAATGTCCAACCTCGTTAGTCATTGACTCCAAGTTGACCCCCCAAAATGGAAATAGGGGCCAGAGAGTCACAACGGCCTCACTAACTCAGGTGTCCAGTTTCAAAAAGAGCTCCAAGGCAAGCCAACAGCTGATTTTTAAGAGACTTGGATGGCTGTGTCATGGCAGTAAGGGATCCACACCCCCCAAAGTGCCATCAGGTAGAGGCTGCCTGACTTTGACAGAAGCTCCAATTTGCAAAATCACCAGTCACAGAGAGTTAGAGATCAAAGAGGTCAGGAGGATTTGGGGACCCCCAAAGTTTTGTTCACTTCACTACATGCAGCTCTTCCCATTGAGATGATACCCTCTGGCACTTATGGGACAGAGAATTACAATCACAACACACATCAGTTTTTACTATACATTCAGACATGCAAGCAACAACAGGCGAGTGTACTGGCCATGAAGGCCCCACCCACAAGGCTGCGTCAGGTCCCCTTTCCCACTGAGAACACTGCCCAACCCCATCAATTGAATCAGGGCTCCCACCCCCATGGGACTGATAGGATGGTGACTTGGATGCCTTTACCAGACAGAACCAGGAAGGTTAGAGTCCTTGCTCTCCCCACCATTCCCC